AGGAAAGGAAGGGAAGGGAAGGGAAGGGAAGGGAAGGGAAGGGAAGGAAGGAAGGAAGGAAGGAAGGAAGGAAGGAAGGAAGGAAGGAAGAAAGAAAGAAAGAAAGAAAGAAAGAAAGAAAGAAAGAAAGAAAGAAAGAAAGAAAGAAAGAAAGAAAGAAAGAAAGAACCAACCAACCAACCAACCAACCAACCAACCAACCAACCAACCAACCCAGGGAATACTCTGATGCTTCGGCCACTCACCTCTCGTCGGGGAAGAGCTTGCTCCTCGGTTCAGAGGCCCCTGCAGGAGAACCGCTGGCGTCCGAGAAAACCGGAGACTGCGTTTTCAGCAACAAGGCCGTCTGCAACACAACACCAGGGCCAAGGGGTCACAAGGGGGTGGGGTGGGGGGTCTAGGGCCAACTCCAAGCCAAAGGGGGGGGAGGGGGGGAGAAAGGCAGGCGCTACCTGGCTGGTGTAGAGGACCAGCTGCACCAGCTGAGGCATGAGCGGATCGGCCACCATCAGGGTCTGGAGATTTGGATGCATCAGGGAGGTCAGCAGCACTGGAAGCAGGTGGCCCAGGATGGTGGCTTTGGTCACCTGCTCCAGGCCCTTCAACCTGCAAGGAGAGTCCTCCATCATCACCACCACAGCTGGGCCTTGGGGGAGTGGGCCGGGGAGGGTCCTCCCCTCAGCCCCAGGTCCTCCCCCCTCGAATCTCAGAGTGGGACCGTGGGGCCGAGTCTTCCGAAATGGCCTGCCCAATGGCTGCTAGCTTGGACGACTCTGGGCTAGCTGCGGTTGGACGCGTCCAGGCGCTCTCACACCGAACCGGCCATAAAACAGCCATAAAACTAGCTATGGGTCGGCCACCCCTGGACACGCCCCTTCAGCATTTTCCCGGGGGTCTTTTGGCCTCTTTCTGGGAGCAGCTTCGAGAGGGAGGGACCGAGGGCGTCTTTCCGGAACAAAAGGCCTTACCTCTGCTCCCTGTCCGGGATGTCGCTGTTGATCAGGGCGGTGGTGACCTGCTGCAGCTTCTCCAGGACTTCATCGCACCCCGTGAGGATCTGCATGGCCAGAGCCAAGATGCTGGTCTTGAGCTCCTACCAGGGAGACAAGCCAAGTTTCAGAGCTGCGTCCTGGCGGCCCCCACGGAAAACTCCGCTTCTAAATCCAACACGGAGGCTCATGCGAAAGAAAGACCGGCTTCCAGAGTTAATGGGATGAGCGTGATAACAAGCCAGGCGAGGTCTGTGGGGGGGCGGGGGGGATCTACCAGCCCACCCTCCCCACTCAGGACTCTTTTGCGGTGGATGGGCAACCTGGGGCAGGGGTGGCAGGACAGGTTAAACAAAAGAAATGCCACTACGCTCCTATCGCTCCGCCTCTGTCTGCAAGGACAACAGCAACAGCACTTTGACCGCTTCCTAGCCCTCTCTAAGCGGTTTACGGAGTCAGCCTCCTGCCCCCAACAATCTGGCTCCTCATTTTACCGACCTCGGAAGGGTGGAAGGTCGAGTCAACCTTGAGCCAGTGAGAATCGAACTGCTGGCAGCCGGCATTCAGCAGAATCCGCCTGCAACGCTGCGTTCTAATCATTTCGCCACCGAGGCTTTGCACGTAATGAATCCTCATTGTTAGACTACTTGAGCACTTTGTGGATTCTGGAGGCCGCTTAATTCCAAGACCACATTTCTTACTAGGCCACAAATTATTAACCCTCCTAAACTGGTCCAATTGAGACAGAAAAGCTGATATCCAGAGATTCAGCAAGAGGCTGGGAGATCCGCCACATTGGCCCTCGTGTTAATGTGGGTTTCCCGGTCATGTCTGGAAGGCGCCAGGATGGGGAAGCTGAATTTAATCACAGGTTTCACTGGAGAATCAATTAGTGCTTCTCTAAACCACAACTTCCCAACACGAGGATTCTTCAGACTGACCTTTCCCTGAAAAATCTGCTCTAGAATCTAACTGAGATCGTTCTGCCTAACTATCCCCGTTTCCCTGATTCAGGGGCGCAGCTCCCTTTTCGGCCTTGGCTGCCAAGGAAGGTTTGTCTTTGGGGAAACCGGAGGAAATTCCAGCCAGCTGATAGCGCAGCGGGATGCTAAGCAGGCCGGGATCAACTCTGCCGGTACTTATCAGAACGATTAATCCAGCCTGCCTTTTGGGCCGGACAAGGAACGAAACCGTCCTAGAAGGGAAGAGAGGATGAGAGCAACTGCAGAGAGGAACGGAAGACAACAAAACAGAAAACGAAATAATGGGTGTGGCTGGATGAGACGTGGCGTGGACACATTTAGCATTTACTCCAGACAGTGACGGACGTATCCGAGTGAGGACAAAGGATGAGCCACTAATAACCTTCCTGAACAGCAAGAAGGAAACCGACAGAAATGACCCTGGCCCAGTTGGGGGCTCAGCCAAGCAGAGGGCACAATGGACCAAGACACACCCCTCCCTCATCTTAAACGGTTCAGACAACAGAGACAAAGCCCAACCAGGGGGGGGGGAAAACAGGCTGAGCACCTGAGGGAGGTAGCCAGGGACGGGCTTGAAGGGGACCTTTTCCAGACAGGGCTGAGAGAAGCTAGCAAAGGTGAGCGCAGAACTCTTCCTGCAAGGATTCTGCAGGGAAGCTTTTAGCCAGGGCTGCTCCGGGCCGAGTGAAGAGCTGGAGCACCCAGTCACAGGACCACGACCACAGACGGTGAGCACGGAGAGGGCCATACCCACCCGTTGGCTGGAGCCGCGGCAGCACCGGGGTCAGGAGAAAGCGAGGGCAGTGGAGTTTCGGACTTGGTGTTTACCTGTACCTTCAAGGTCTCTCCCTGCAAGGAGCTGTCACTGTCATCGCTTTCGTCAGGCTTAATCAAAACGGTATTACTCAGAAGGTGGTTCTGTACAGCCATCAGGTACCGCAGGCAGGCAGAGGCGGCCTTCAAGACAAACGGGGACATGGGGGGGGGGGTTTCCCTCGTGGCCCCACTGCCTCGCAAAGCAGCCAAGGCAGCAGGCTCTCTCGGAGGCCCCAGGCACACTCACAAACGGGGGCAGAACGCAAAGGGAACGTCCCGTCCGTCTCTAGCTGCGGGGCTCACAGCGTGGCAAAGAAGTGCCAGAAAATGTTGGCCCATTAATTCAAGCTAACGTGGGGGAGACGTATGGCAAGTCCCTGGACCTTACCAAACTGAAAGACGAGTCAGCGTGGAGTAATCCCATTTATGTGAAAAACAACGGTGAGCTTGAGCGCCTCGCATGTTAACCTCCTGGACCAGGAACCCGGGAAGGAGGAGAGCCAGACTGACAGAGACTCCCGCCCACCAATCCCAGGGACGGTCGAGGCTCCTCAATTCCCCAGAAGGAGAAACTATCCCCCTTCCCCTCCTTCTCCCCACGGCAGCCCCCGAAGAGAGCCAGTGGGGGGGGGGGTTTTGGGGGGCCACGGTTACTCACAGGCACAGTGGAGAGAAGCCTCTGGAATTCATCTCGAGAGACGATTTGGCACTTGGTGATTAAGACACAAGATTCTCGGACCACGATCTTGAGAATGTAGTGCAAAAGTTCGTCGTTCAGCCTGAGAGGCGGGACAGAGGAGGGAGGGTCAGAAGGGAAGCCAGGCGGACTCGAGGACAAACCGCAGCGCATCCGGTAAGCCGGCCGTGAGAGCTGCCTTCGCCTCCCCTCCCCCACCCATCTCGGTTGCCCAGGAGGCAACCCCCCCACCCCCAGGTCATTCAACCAGCGTGCGCCGCCTCTGCCTGGGGAGGTTCACCTGCAGTGCTCGTCGTCTTCACTTCCAAATCGGTTGTTCTGGAGCTGTTCAGCCATGTTGGTCAGGATCACATCTCGAAGCTGGGCCAGGCCGCTGTTCCTGTCTCCTAGAGTGGGCCAATTCAAGGAGGAAGGGAAGTAGGGAGGCCTGGGATTGTGCCCCAAAACTGTCTCGCGGACACCACCCTGGCCTGAAGCATGCAGCAAGCCGTATGTTCTGGTTTGTGTGTTTTGAACGTACAAATTTGCACTCCAGCACCTTAAAAACTCTTACCTTCGGTTAAGACCAGTTTCAGTAGATTGTTAATTTCTGTTTCTCCGGGGTACAGGATGCTCAGACCAGAACTTAAAAGGGGAAAGAAAGGAGACACTTAGCACTTGCACAAAAACACACAAAAAGGGCACTGAAGATAAACTGACTTTACTCAGGCGTATGCTTGGAACTGTTGGCAATACCATTTGCTGCCGCATGAATTATGGATACCTGCCTGGAAATCTGTAGCATTTGTTTGGTTAAAGTAAGAATGTGGTTTTTTTTCAAGAATGGGCTGAAGCTTGGTAAACACTCACGTGTCCCAGTAAGCGAAGCCAAGAGCAGCAGCTGCTTTGGGGGTTTTCTTTACTGAATTTCACGAGGGACGAGCTTCCCCATCAACGGGGAGGCCTTGGGATCTTTTGAGAGGAGGCCAGGTGACCTACCTAATGGCCAAGCAGACCTCCTTCTGAATTTCAGGGCTGATCTGGTCGACTGGGGCCATGAGAAGCTGCCAAAGCAAAAGGCCGGATCGCCTGACGATCTCCCGATTCTTCTCTGTTTGGGGGCTGAAGAAAAATTTAAAAACCACCTGCAAGACAAGCATTGCAACGCAAGATGGGAGGGAGAAACATATGCGCAGCCAGTGAAGCGATGCACGCTTCGCTTATCTGCACTCTATCTGAATTTATTGAAACAACCAGGTTGGTTCCGACAACTAACATCGGAGAAGAGTCGAAGAAAACAGGGCAAGAGGTTGATACATTCAAATGCTCCGATTCGGCTCCTTATGAACCTCCAAGAAACAGGCAGGATTACCCCACAGAACACAGGCGTTTTTCAAACTTGACAACTTTACGATGGTTGGACTTCAAGGACTCCCCAGCCAGTCATGAACCCTGGGAGTTGAAGCCCCACCTATCTGAAAGTTGCCAATATTTGAAAAAATATTGCCACAGAGGATCAGGCTTGGATTTCGTTCCATTTCTGGTTGAACAAGAACGTCATTCAGGCTGTGCTCTAAATTGTGGCCTTCTTGCTGGGAGAGGCCACAAGCCAGAGCACATCTTGGATCAGCCAAGGAGTCAGCGATGCCCAGGGAGTGGCAGCAGATGAAAACTCTCTGCTGGGGTGCCCCGTTTCTTCCCCAAATACACAACAGACTGGCTGGCACTGACGGGGTTGCCTAGTTTGAGTAATGAAACGTCTGCAAGGAAACAACGGAGTTCGGAGAACACACAACCGAGACACGGCAGGGAAGTCTCCCATTAGGATTGGAGCTCTCGGGGTCGCCTAAGGTGAGCGAAGGTGTGCCCCGATCAGGAATGCGTACCTGAAAGACCACCAGGATGCAGCGTATGATGCAGGTGTCGCCGTTGACCATGGCTTTCTCCATGATGTCGCAAATGCTGCTGAGGTGATGGGCTTCGATCGGGTGTTGCTTAGCCAGGAAATTCGTGATCGGCATGTTGTTACTGGCCGCCAGCAGGTTGAGCTGATGGATGCACATGGCGCCCACGTGGTGCAGGAGCTGATTGATAACCTCGTTGGTGGCGATGGCGTCTCCTGCAAAAAAGGGCATCGTGCCCTTGTCAAAATCGCCTGGCAAAGACGATCCATCACCACCGACCAAGGAGACGGAGAGGGGAGGCCGATGGTCGTTCAGAAATCATTTCAAAGGAAATGGGCCAGGTTATTATTCCCGGTGCTGACGGCACCGTTCGCCTCTCACCTTGCGGCTCCAAGATGACGTGGCTGACTCCCAGCCTCTGGCAGATGTAGTGGAAGGCTTGGTTCCCAGGGTTGCACCACTGGTCAATGTAGTCGTTGGAGCAGGTCCAGATCATGTTGTTCATGGCGTCGTAGCAGGCGCCTGGACAGAAACATTGGTAGCCCCCTTGATCCAAAGGGGACCGGGACGCAAAACGAGCAGAAATCCAGAGGTCCCAGATGTTAAAATATCTCAGTCTCTTCCTGAGACACCTTGTCTCCAGAGCTTAGGGATGCTCCAGCCCTGGAAGTCTTTAAGGACAGCAACAGCACTTGGACTTATATACCGCTTTACAGTGTTTTACAGCCCTCTCTTAGCGGTTTCCAGAGTCGGCCTCTTGCCCCCCCCAACAATCTGGCTCCTCATTTTACCCACCTCGGAAGGATGGGAGGCTGAGTCAACCTGGAGCCTAGTGAGACTAGAACTGCCAAATTGCAGGCAGCCGGCAGGCAGCAGAAGTAGCCTGCAGTGCCGTACTCTGACCACTGCACCACGAGGCTCAAGAAGAGACTGGACAACCATTTATCTGAGGTGGTGTGGGGGGGTCCCCTGAGGTTGGACTGGATGAGCCCCCAAGGCCCCTTCCGGTTCTGTGACTCTGCTGTGCATGTCCACACACACACACACACACACACACCCTGGTGATAAAATTTGTCTTCTTTCTCTGCATCCATTCCCACCAACAGCAGAATGTTGGTGGGGTTTTTTTTTAACTGTTCAGGAGTTATTTGCTCTGAAGAAATTTGCAATTCTGTCAAAAGCTCAGCTACGTAATGGCTAGAGAAAGCCACCCTGTGGAGTTTCGTTCAGAGCGTCCCGGGGGCAGCCTGCATCTAGGGCAGACCTTTGGGGCTTACCTAGGCCAGGGACAAGGGCCCCGCGTCCAAGGGAGCTCCCAGCAGCATCGATGAGGTCCGCTCGGCTTGCAAACTGCCCATCTGACAGATTGTACACCAGGCTGGAAGCTAGGACTTTAAAGAAGGGGTCTGCCGTCAATCCCTCCCCAGCTCACGTCATTCTAAGAGCAAACTGCACCTCGGGCGGAGCCAAAGCTCAACCTTCGGGGGCTAAAACCACCGCCTGGAACAGCCAAAGCGGCCTCAACAACACTGCCCTTCCCCTCCCCCAAGGCCAGGAGAGAGGCGAGAACTTACTTTTCAAGGATGACAAACCGCTGCTTCCCCCGAAGAGAGACCGGGTGGCAGAACTGCCGGAACCTCCCGGAGGCGGGATTAGCATCACCAGGTAGGTCCCACAGGTGTAGATCGGGGTCTTCCGTAGCATTTTGAGAGGCAGACCACAACTAGTGTTAGCAGCTGAAGAAGAAAAGGAGGAGGAGGAGGAGGAGGAGGAGGAGGAGGAGGAGGAGGAGGAGGAAGAAGAAAAAAGGGAGAAGGGAGAAGAAAAAGAAGAAGAAGAAGAAGAGTTGTGAGAAACACAGGGAGATAATTTCGCTCGGCAACTGCAAGCAGAGGAAGATGTGAAGAACCTGGTCCAATGCAGGACCATAAGGAGAGGCACTGCCCCCCCCCCGCTCCCCCCACCTGGGAAGTCCTTCACAAGACTCCTCTGACAAGCAGGTGCTGTACCTGGTTTCTCAGGTGTTTTGCCCCGTTCAGCAAGAAGGCTCAGCTGCCCCCTTGGGCGAGGAAGAAAAGGCTCCTGGGCCCAACTGGCCCCTTACCTGCCTGGTCCTCTTTCAGGGTGTTGGAGATGGTGGAGCCCGTCAGCGCGGCCAGGGTGGCCGAAGGGGAGGCTCTGTACCTGGACAGTCTGCTGAGCAGCATCTCGTTGATGCTCTTGGCCGAGTCCCCCTCTTTCCTCATCAGGATGAGGCGCTCCTGGAGGGGCCTGGCGACGCAGAGGCCGTTGTCCCCCTGGGCCAAAGAGCCAAAAGGAGGAGAGAGCTTCCACCAGCCTGCGTGGGGTTCACCGCAACCCGGAGGGCATCCGGGCCAGGCAGACGCCCCCGGTTTGTGCCCGCCTTCTGGGCACCAGACCTCACCTTGACTTCAAAGATGTCCATGAAGACCGAGTGGCCCTTGGGGGTTTTTTCATTCAAGCTTGCAGGAGACCAGATCCAGTAGAAGTAGGTCCCGTCCGAAGAGAGGTGGACCGTGGTCATGGTGCTGCCTATGGGAAAGTGATCGGGGGGCATTGGGAGAAGCTGGCACACCTGGGCAGAGAAACGGGGCAGGGGGCAGAAGGGAGGAGAAATCCAGTTTTACTGGCATTTGTGACGACACGCTGATCCTGAACGCATCAAGGTGCCCGGTGGTTCGGCACAGTGATATGCCGGCCTAACATTTACAATTAAAATCAATATTTGTATTTCAAACAGACGCCAGAAGGAGATGGACCTTCCTCTTCTTCTTCTTCTTCTTTTAGGAAAGAAGAACGCTGGGAAGAAAACAAAGCTTCTCTCATCACGGCAAAACCAAAGCACTCCATCTTGCAAGGTCACACTTGCTGAACAAGCACATTGGAAGATGAATGAGATTTTTAATAGCTACACTGTGGAAGAGCTTTCTGCCCTCTCCACCTCTGGTCGTTTCCCCCGGGGTTTAATTCTTCTCAAAACCAGAAGCAGCTTTACTCTCAGGGTAGCCCCCCCCCTCAGAAACCTCAAAGGAAGTCCCAGGGGGCACGCACACACACACACACACACACGCACACCCACGTTCCCAAAGGAAGACAGGAACTCCAATTGGGAGTCGGCACTTTCCTCCCTCCTGCCCACCGACACCAGTGGGCCCATTGGCTAAGCCGTCCTGAGATCCCTTCGTGCAGCCGCCCAGGGCTCGTGGAACTTGATGCTCGGCGCTTGTCTGCTGCTGTCTCAGCTCCTGGGCTCTTGGCCGGAGTCTCAGGTGCAGCCAGCAGACAACATTGCGCTAATGCTCAGGCATTCTTGGGAACGGATTGCCAGCTTTCAAAGGGCGACCGAGCGCCTGAGTCATCTCGGAAGCATCCCAGGGCAACGCAGTTTCACGCACTGAGTAGTCGCCTGGCAGAGTTCTCCGATCCTAAGTCATTGCTGGGCAGTCTGAGCATTTGTGGATGGACGGAAAAGCTCCCCGGGGAAGGACGGCAGGCGCACGAGGGATTTTTTTAAAAAAATCTTAGTTTCAGAAAGACCACCTGGCTTTCCAAGAGACAATCAATTATTATTGAAGATGGGGGTGGGTGGGGGGGGAATGGGGGACAGGACCACCTGGCTCGAATCACAAACCAGGCCCTGGGACAGACAGCCAAGCTAGAAACAGCTCTGATGTTACCTGAAGGGTGTTCGGATCGATGACCTGGAAAAGGGAGTGAGGTTTGCTGTCAAAGGAGACCGGCCTGTGGAGCAGCCGGCCGTTGCCGAAGGCCACCCAGCCGGATTCCAGTTCCTCGTTGCGGGAGTAGACAAAGCCTCTGAAAGGAAGAGCGGGGTGGTGGCGCTCTGGATCAGGTCCTCCTGTTCGTGGCTCCTTCGTTCCCTCCTCAAACCCGCCCAATGTTGTCTTTCTCTCCACCGCCGTCGCTATCCCGGAGACCGTGCTTTGGCGCGGGGCTTACCGTAAAGTACCGTGTAATCCAGAGCCTAATTTGCTGATTCCCCGGCCAACGGAGTTGGTGGTGTAAAGATAAAGTCCATCCACTGCCAGGCAGCGGCCTAAGTCTGCATCTGCAAGAGGAGGAGGAGGAGGAGGAGGAGGAGGAGGAGAGGAGGAGGAGGAGGAGGAGGAGGGTTATTTTCAAAGCCACAGAATTCGGGGCAAGAACGGGGCAGAAAATGTTTCTTTTGAGTCACGGCCAACCGTCACCTGTGCACTAGGCAGGGCCCTCCACAGCGCTGCCACCCTTGTTAGGTCTGCAAAAGGCCAACCGAAAAAAGCTTGATGGTCTCATTTTACAGTTAAATCTTTGACTACGTCCAGTTCTGAGCACCGACAACTGGACAGCATCAAGGAGAAAGATGCAGACCTGAGAGAAAACTCCTCCAGGTGCAGGTGTAAAAAATTGGCCGCCATTAAGCTGGAGAAGAGAGATTAAGAGGCCGGAAGAAGACCGGTCCCCTGCTTTTTATCAGAGGCCCTATTTTTTGGGGTGGGGTGGGGGGTGGGGTGTCAGGGTTGCATTTTTATTCCTACATTCTGGAGGAAGCAGCATTCTTCTTACAACCACCCGTGCTTGCGCTCTGCCCCTCGCTCTGACGGAGGTCATTTCCCAGTGGAAGAAAACCTTCTCACGGCGTCCGCCCTGCTATCCTTTAGCCGTGGCTTCTGCCCGTCCTGAAAATACCAAACCTCGGGTGCTCGAAAGGTGGGAATGTCCAGGGTTCTTACCTTTGTTTTCTGAGCCAGAGCCAGGGTTAGCATCAGGTGCTGGCAGCATGTCCTCAAAACCCCAGGACACCAGGTGTTTGCCCCCTAGCAAGCAGGAGGGGGATCCAGGTCCGCCTTCTAAAAGCAGCAGCCTTCAGGGAGCAGATGTGGAGACACACACACACACACACATATAAATACGCGCTTCTGTGAAATACGAACAGCTACACAAAAGGGGTTCACCTTTATGGGCTTTTAAGGGGAAACGGCTGTTCCGTGTTGATATACTTTGGCTTTGTATTATTGGGAGAGAACAGTGAACTTGGCATTACTGAACTGAGGTGTGTGGTTTAGAGCAACCTTGGCCAACTCCCAGGGCTCCACAAGTCTGAAAGCGGCCAAGGTTGGAGACCCCTGGTTTAGAGCAATACCTGGGGTGCTCCCTATCCCCTCCCCCTCCCCTTCCTCCTCCTCACCTGTACAACACATCAGCCACAGGCAGGGATCCTAAATCGGTCTGTTTTTGCAGGAGATGGACGGTGTGAACAAAGGTTTTGAGGGAGCCCCTGGGCAAAAGACAACAAGGGAGAGGTCCCTCTTCAGACACCGTAAGATGCTAATGGAGGCGGCAGAGCTCTCTAAACAGAGGAGGACCTGACACTAATGCCCAGAGAAATCAATAAGTCAATCAATCAATAAGACTTGGGGACTGATACCCAGATATTGCATACTGTTTCTGCTTCCAATCAGCGGAGGCCTAGCAGTAAGTGAAAAAGGTGGTTCAAACCCAGTGGGGAAAAAGGACGCAACCTGGGTGGGAAAAAGCAGGCAAACCTATCTAGGTGGGGATGAAGGGAATTCTTGGGAGCGTTTTGCATGGTGGTCAGAATGCAAAAGGACCCCCCAAGAGTGCAGAGAAGGTCCTGGCCGGTTCTGCTTTGTGACGACTGTCTCCAAACTCAGGGGAACAAGGACCCCCACCACTCCAGCATGGAAGAGACGGAAAGACACCCCGATCCTGCTCCCCGGGGGCTTCCTTTCCTCGGCAGAACCTTCTCTGAATGCCCAGGGAAGACCGGGAGCTGCAGAGGACCTTCCTGAGCGGCTGTTGGGTTGCCTTCTGTCTTCAGGGGTTGCCCAACAAAGTTACCAGGACTGCAGACAGGAAGAGCCCCCTCCCCCCCCCCGGCAGTTTGCTGTCCTGCAGGGCAACGCAGAGACCCCCGACGTAAGCCAACCTCTTTAAACAGGGATGGGAAGGCACCAACAGGGCCTCCTCCAAGGAACAGGTAGTCCTCAAGCCCACAAGGCTTAAAGCTTGCCAAGTTGGAAGAGCCTTGTACTAGGCCAACAATCGAGCAGTTAAAACCAAGGGTCTTCCAACTTGGCAAGCTTTAAGCCTCGTGGACTTCCACTCCCAGAATTCCTGAGCTAGCATGACTGGAGAAGGAGGAATTCTGGGAGTTGAAGTCCACAAGCTTGCCAAGTTGGAAGAGCCTTGCTTTGGACGGCCACGAAAGGAACTGTGGGAAGTCAAGGACTACCTGTTGGGCTTTTTTTTATAGATGGGTGTGTCAGAAAAGACGAGGGGAGGGGGCTTTTCTTAGCGTTGCTGCCCCGAAGGACACCAGAGGACCCTCCCCCCCACCGCACTCCCCCTACCTGGCACAGGCCAAGGCCACCAGGGCAGCGGCGGCGTTCTCCTTCTGCCGGTGGGGGATCTGCTGGCCGCAGGGCGAGGCCTCCTCCAGCCAGGAGCAGAGCAGAGCCTCGATGCCGTTCAGGCAGTCGGCGGGCTCCTTGGTCAGGCTCAGGGGCTGGCAGTCCCGGAGGCAGGAGAGGAGCACCTCGGCGGTGACGTTGCCCAAGGAAGGGTCGGTCCTGCTCTGGGACTCGATCAGCGGGAAGACCAGGAGCAGGCCCATGCGGGAGGTGAAGGGCGCCTGCTCCGACTGCTGCAGGAGGCCCTGCCGCTTAAGCAGGGCCAGCGCCTCCTCATCGCCCGAGCTCTCCCGCTCGTGCTGCTCCTCCAGGGCCAGCTGGCGCTGGGCGTTCCAGAGGCCCCGCAGCGCATTCAGGCGGTACTCCAGCAGGCGGGCGTAGGCGTTGCTCTGGTTGCCACAGATGGCGCGCAGGCGCTCCGACAGCTCCGTGGGGTTCTTGGTCTCGAAGGTTAAGATCTGGAGGGGACAGAGAGCGGGAGACCTTCAGGCTCAGGGAGGCCTTCTCCACATCCCTCCCCGGGTTCAAGCCCGGAGCCTTCGGGGAGGGGAAGGGCTCCAAAGTCATCACCCAAAGCGGGGAGAATATCTGCAGCTCTGCAGGCTTTTGAGCCGGGTTTCCCAACCTCGGCCGCTTTTAAGATGAGTGGACTTCAACTCCCAGAATTCCCCAGCCAGCACCCTCTTCAAAGCGGCCAAGGGTGAGAAAATACTGAGTTTTCCAGGAAGGCAGACTGGAACCAATAGCCAAGCCATGGGCCTTTCCCCTCATAAAATCCACGCTGGTCCTTGGCATCAATTCCCCTCGTGCTGCTACTGAATGGCTGCCCTCAGGAAAAACATAAAGCTTGATTCACTTACTGCCCTGACTGCTTTAAAAGCCTGAGCTTTCAAGTGGGGGAAGAAATACTATCAGTTCCCTCATTTTATCCCCCATCTTGAAAGAGCATGCAACACACACACACACACTCATACGCTTTGATTAACGACCAAGCGTCAAATTTGTGTTGTGCCAAGGTACCATTAAAGCAGAACCACTACCCAGACGGATTTAAAATTTCGGATAATGTTACCATTCGCTTTACGATCAGGATCAGATATTTATGAATTCACAACCTTTCCTGGGTTGCTTTATATGGCCTGTAGATGACATTAGATGACACATAAAACCAGAGCTTTTGTTTTTTGAGCAACTTCAATGGCAAGGAGCAAGAAATAGGATTACTGAGAAAGGATTTCAAGGCCAATTAGCCAAATAAATACAAGCTGACATACGTCGTTAGCTAAGTGCTGCAAACATTGATTTAGCTTGGGTGTAAACTCACAAAACAGGGTCTAATAAAATCCATTCGGTTTTCCAGCATTGCAAATTCACTGTGGCATCCTCCAAATTCTAAGACGGTGCAAAATTTAACAGCGGCAATTTCTGCTTTTTTATTAGGAAAATGTTGTGATTTCACGCAGGGAAAGACGTGCTGGCAAATAAGTTTAAAACGAACAGACTTCAACTCCCAGAATTCCCCGGCCAGCATGAAGTTGAAATCCACTCATCTTAAAAGTTGCGAAGGTTGAGAAACAGGGTTCTAAGGATTATGCATGTTTCCACGGATTTGACCCCAAGAGAATAACGAACAGCTCCGGATTTGGGTGGAAACTTTTACAAGGCTAGCCACCACGTCCCCTTGCCTTGTTCTGCTCCTCGGTATATTATCTCTCTGCTGAGTCAGGACCACTGAGGAGAGAATTCCTTGGTTATTCGGGGTGAATTCCCCTTGTTTTTAAGAAGACAAAAGTAATGGAGGATCACAGCCAGTCCAGTGGCTTCTTGGGAATAAAGGAGAACTGGCGCATGACATACACACCCCCACCAAATATAAATATATATATTCTTTTACATAGATAGGAAAGAATAGACCCTCTCCTGCAGCCGAGATGCTTGCTGTGTTGGCAAAATCTATACCCAGGTAAGCACAGCAGCAACCCTGAAGGCTGAGAATGTGCCAGTCATGGGCCCGAGTGGTTCTTTGCCATTGTGCTGCCAGCAGAGTAGCCTCGAAAGAGCGGTGCCTTCTAGATCTCCAACAGTCAACACAAAAAGCAACTGGTGTGTGCTAGAACAATCGATTTCAGTCCTGGAAGCGGCCACGCACCACACAAAGCAAGGACAGGACAATCACAACTGTTTGTGTAACCCCAGGAATGGGTGGCACACACTGACCTCTGAGAAGGGTCAGGGCAAAGGGCCCCTTTGGGATGAGGGAGGCCTGGCTGGCACTGGGCCTTGGGGGTTTTTTTTTTTTGGCTCTGAATGAGGATTTCTGTCGCCAGCAAGTACCCCGTGAGTCCTGTCTGGTTTCTCACCTATGCTATATTCTTCACGTATGTACAGGCAGTCCTCGACTTAACAACGGTTCATTTAGTGACTGTTCAAAGTTACAACGGCACTGGAAAACGTGACTTAGGACTAGCTTTTTCCCCACAGGTACCACCTTTGCAGCATCCCCAGGGTCAGTCACGTCACCAAAGTTCGGAGGCTTGGCAACGGGTTCATATTTATGACGGTTGCTGCGTCCCAAGGTCATGGCGGGTCCCGTTTGCAACCTTCTGACAAGCAAACTCCAAGGGGTTCGCTTAACGACCGGGTTACTAACTTATGACCTGCGGGGACTGGCTTAAGAATGGTGGTGAGAAGTCGTAAAATGGAGGCGGGGGCAGCAAAACTTTGCTTAGCAAATGTTGCACTCAGCAGGAGAAATTTGGGGCTCCATTGTGGCCGTAAGTTGAGGACCCTGATATTTTTATAACCATCCCACTTTCTGGTATCATATCACAGTTTTTCTCTACCAGAACTCCTAAGTCTACCGAGAATGCTTGCGACAGACCCCGGGGGGCTGCCACCAGACAGGACAATCAGGTGATAACACAGCATCCAGGTATACTTTGCCAGCATCTGGGTCGTTTGTGTGCAAAAAAGGGGAAAAAAGTGAGCTCCTGAATTAGCTCTACCAAGACCACCACCCCATCCTCCCCTCTTTGGAGGAATTTCTCAACTTCCTCGTCATTCCATTTAAATAATTCTTGCACTGAAATTACTGGGTAGCCCACAAAGGACTCCCACTTAACCATGATCTCTCGATCTCTCTCTCTAGGAAAAGAAGTACTCCTAACTTCTTTAACTGTGTTTGCTGAGCAACGGGAGCTAAAATTCTGCAGAAACAGCAAACAGGCTGCCCATCGAAGAGGCATTTATTTTTAAATAAACACTCTGAAGTCAAAGGGTTCGGAGTGACTTCCAGGCTGGCCTGGTCTTGAAAAGCGGGAAAGAGGCCAGAGTTCGTTAGTACCAGGATGGGGGACCACTAGGAAATCCCAGGGCCGTAGAATAAACTGGGAAGTCAATCCCAGAAGAATGCGATAAAAAAAACCCATCTCTGTATAGATGACAGTGCAGTTGAAAAGAAGCCTGCCAACAATGGGAAGCTCTTATTGCAGATCTATAGCACAGCCATAACTGGAATTCTGTGCTCGGTTTTAGTCATCACATTTGAAAAGGCTATGAAGAACTGGGGGAGAGGGGGGGGTAGTGCAGACAAGGACAAACAAAACTATCAGGAGCTTGAGAAAAACATCTGAGACGGGCAAGAACAAAATGCAGGAAAGTTTAAGAAAAGGAGGAGGAGGAGGAGGAGGAGGAGGAGGAGGAGGAGGAGGAGGAGGAGGAGGAGGAGGAGAATAATGCCCTGGGTGAGGAAAAGAGGGCTAGGAGCTGCTTTCTGCCCCCTCCTCCTCCTCCTCCTGCTCCATCGCTAGCGGCAGGGGCCATTCAGTGAAACCACAGAGAAAAAGGACAACAGAAACCTCCTTGACATTGTGGGCAATTAATCTGCGGGATTCCTCACCACAAGATATGAGGAGGATGCGATATGAAGATGACCAGAGTGACAAGGGAGCAGGGGAAGTCGGGGAGGACACCCAGGAGGAGGGACGTTCGTCTCAAAGACTCAGTGCTGCCTCTGTGTGTGGGGACAACCCGGTGCAGGGACCCCCAGGAGGAGAGGGCTGGGTCCCTAGATCTCTCGGCCTCCGACTGGATGCTCCCAGGCGAGGGTTGGCCTTCGGGAGTCAAACTGAAAGTCAAGAAACTTTCCTCGTTTTGAGCGAAATGTGCAAAGTTGCCAGACGTAATCTGGGGTGTGCCTCACCCCCACCCCCCCGCCCCCCACAAGCATTTGGGATGATCCATTGCATTTTTATGTGGGAGAAATGTAAATTTAGAGCCACTCGCTGGTGAGATGGGCAGCATATAAATTTAACAGGCAAGTCCAATCCTGACCGGCCAAAGGTTGACTCAGTCTTCCATCCTTCTGAGAGGTTGGTAAAATGAGGACCCCGATTGTTGGGGCAAGAAGCTGACTCTGAAGCGGCATATAAGTCTAAGTGCTATTAACAAATAAGTAAACAGTAAAAATACGAATGGGAACAATCAGCTGTACGCAGCCGCTTTTCCGCCTGAGTGGTATTGGACGGCCCCTGTATCCTGCCCAGCTACTAGGGCCTTGTGGGCTCTGCTGGCTGGCAGGGTGCTGGCCTTTGTACTCCCATTTATGCGTTAAACACCCTTCGGGGAGAGGCGAGGGAAAGGAAAGGCTCATCAATTGCTATTTACATTTCAGGAACTCCAAACATCCACGTTATCAGCTTCCATTCCACAACATGTTTTCTAAACAATTGTAGAGATTGTACAATTACCTTGAAACTACAGCAGGCTCTCTGAGCAATTACTGCACAGGGCTGTCATGTGATTAATCATCATTTAAAGCAGGCTTGCAGAACTAATGGGCTCAATTCTATTTCTGGATGCAAACTATATTGATGCAAAAAGAAAAAAAAACCCCAAACAAGAACCACCGCCTTCTGGACCACAAGACCACAAACCATTCCACGTTCTTTGACAGATCACAACAAAAACAAGCCTTTCCCCCCCCCCCTCCAAAAAAAGGGGGCCGTCAGCATTTATTTTAACAAAAGGCTTGCGGTGTGTGGGCCAGTGTCATTTCCACCACCCATACTCGGTTGCTTGTCCACCCGAAGAGCGGATGGCAGCCTGGGCTCCTTCCCGGCAACACAATAGCATCCCTTCAAGCTCCCTACACAAACGCAGGTGACCAAGCATAAGCCTTCAATGCGGTGCCTGCTGAACCGTCCCCGTTTGGTTCACACCACCCGGCTTCTGACAAAGAACCTGTGTCACTGAGAGCCACCCGGCTGGGGAAGAGGGCGGAGTGACGGAGGGAGGCGCATCAGAAAAGCCGTAGCAGGGAAGTCATTGGCAGCCCGGGGCTCTTCGGCTGCCCCTCTTTTTAAGGGCGGGGGGAAGAAGCCCAGCATCATGGTTCCTCTCCCTTGGCTTTTGGGCCGTCCCAGGGAGCTCAGCCCCGGAATAAACCGCGGGCACAGGT